AGCCCCAAGAGCAGCTCTTGGGCTCCAGGGGGGGTGGTGGAAGCCAGAGTCCCCAAGGCAAAGCCAGGAAGGCCGGAGCCCCTGCCTGACCCCAGGTGTGGGGCCCCTCTCCCAGACCAGGCCTCCCTCACCCTCACCTGGAACCGGGCCTGGCCGAGGTCGTAAATCTTCTCCAGGGGACAGACATCCGGGGCAAAGAAATGACCAAGCTTGGCCAGCGTGACGCCGTTGCGCAAACTCTCCTCCAGCTCGGTCGGAGGGGGCAGCGGCTCCTTGAGGCAGGCCTCCATCCAGCTGAGGGGGGAAGTGGGGCAGGGTTACACCCCTTGGGTTTTCTCAGCAGCCCCTCCGGAGACACCTCGCCTGACCTGGGGCTCAGGGCAGGGGCGCCAGCAAAAGCTCCATCCTCCCCACTGCACAGAACTGTCCAAACACCCCCCACCCACCCATTGGGCCGACCCTCCCAATACCTGTGGCCAAGAGGAGGAGGAGGAGGAGGAGGAGGAGGAGGAAGCATCTCTGCCCAGTTCCCTCCCAGGCCATTCACACGTGTGTGTGCACATCCCTCCAGGCCCTTTGCCTCTGTCCAGGCGCACCCCTTCCCTGAAATAAGGCTCACCTCTTACGGGAAGAGCCCCCTTCCCCTCCCACCCCCGTTTCTTCAGAAGGCCAGTGCTGGGAGGCCCCTCCAGGGTCAGGAAGATGAAGCCTCTCAAAGTTCATGACCACCCAAATTAACACACACACACGCACACGCACACACACACACACACGGTTCGGACCCACTTGGATTCATTCAGCCCCTCCCTCCCTCTCCCCCATTCAGATCCACTTCCTTCAAAACCAAAGCCAGTTCAGACATGGCAACGAAACCTTATGAGGAAGAGCTGAACGTCCATGGCAGTTTCTCAACCGTGGCCACTTGGATGGACGTCAACTCTCAGAATTCAGACAGTTGACATCCATCTGTCTTCAAGGGGCCAAAGTTGGGAAACACTGCTCTGGGGGATCCTGCACTGAACAGGGGTTGGTCTGGATGACCTCTGAGGTCTTTGAGCTTTCTGGCCTGATCACCTATTATAATTATGGCCTCCAAGTTGTTTCTGGCTCCTAGCAAAGGACGTGGGTTGATTTTTATCATTTGTTCACACAAATGGCAAGGGAAGTTACCACTTCTCAGGACCTGGGGGGGGAGGGGTAGTCGGCTCGGGGGTTCTCTCCCACCCAGCCACCCCCAAAACTGTCTCACCGCTTGGCTTCCTCCAGGTGGCAGAGATACTGGTAAGCCTCGTTCTGCCTCCGCCTCTCGTCCATCTCATCTGCCGTGAGACGCTCATCTGGGGGAACCAGAAGGAATTTCTCACCCCGAGACAACATTCCAGGAGCCCCCAATCACTTTTATAACTTCTCCAGGCGCCTCGTGGGTGAGATCGGCAGAATTTAATGAACAAATAACTGCCCGGCTGGTTCTCCTTGACCCGCCCAAGGACGGCATCTGGCAGGCACAGCCCCCAAGTGGAGGGGGCGCCCAAGATACCCCCCACCCGCCCCATTCCCCAGCCCTGGGGTTTGCTTTTTGTTTCTCCCTCCCTCCCTCCCGCCGTCCCCGGGGAGAGCAACGGGCCAGGCCGCCTGCGGAGGTCCAGCGGCAGCCAGCCTGGCGCGGCTCCGGAGCGGAGAGAACTCCGGCTCTGCGGTTCGCTTCCCCAGCCGCCTTCGGGAGAGGCGCTTGGCCTGCCCGGCTGCCCTGCGCCCCCAGACTCACAGCCGGAGGAAACCTGGCCGCGCTGCGCCATCGTCGCCCCTGCGCCCTCCGCTCGCTCCGCCCGGGCAGTTTGAATCTCCCGCGCCGCCCCCCGAGGAGTACAGCTGGGCGGCCGCGGAGGCTGCTGGGCGCTGTAGTTTCTCCCGCAGGAGGCGTGGCCCTCGGCGGACCTCGCCCCGCCCACCCAGAGCCCCGGCCCAGCAGAGGCTCCTCCCCCCCGGCAGCCCCCGAGGTCCCTCTGCCGGGGGGAGGGGGGTTTCTCCTCCCGGGAATCAGGCCCCGCAGCGCGGATGATGGGCTTTGTGTTCCTCCCGTTGGGCTGGCCGATTGGCTGCCCCGGGGGCTGTCGAGGCTCCCCCGCCGGCTTCGCTCAGCCCTTCCACGGGGCTGCTGAGTTGGGCGACCAGCGCTTAACCGGCCGAAGGGAGCCGAAGCCCCAGTTCGCTGCCCGAGAGCCCCTCCCCAAAGCAGCGCTCTCGGCGGTAGACTGCCCCTGAGCCTGGAGGCTCTACGGCGGCCCGACCGGCGCGTCCCCCGGAGGGGCGGGGCAGAGGCGGAGCTTCCACGCCCGGTGGGAAGAGCCGCCGCCGCCGCCGCCACTTGCGGGCGGAAGGAAGGAAGGAAGGAAGGAGGGAGGGAGCGGGGCTGGCCGCATGTCCGGGCCGCGGCGGGTGGCTCTGCTGGGACTCGGCCTGCTCCTGTCTAGGGCGGCGGCGGGACACTGTCCGGCCCGGCTCTGGCCGCCTCCCCGCGCCATGCAGAGCGCCGCGCCCGGCCTGAAGTTCCTGGGGTAGGCGGCGGAGCCCCCGGGAAGGGAGGGCAGGAAAAGCCCCCCGGGCGGATCTGCGGAGGAAGCCCCCTCCTCCCTCTTTTGGAAAGGGGGGAGGGAGGGGGAGGGGGAGGGGGCTTGCCTTCCTGCAATGGGGGCTCTGGGGTCTCCTCGGCCCTCTTTGCTCCAGGCAGGAGCCCCCCCCCCGCCCCGTGTCCCCCGCAAAAAAGCCGAGGCGGAAGGGAGCGAGGCGGGCAGGCGGCGCAAATGCTCCTTTTGCCTCCTGCCGAGAGGCTCGCTCTGAGGCCGCGCTGGGAGCTTCCACGGGAGTTTGGTTGAGCCAGCGCGGGGCCCGGAGAGCCTGAGGCTTGCAGGGCTGGAGGTGGAAGGAAGGAGCCGGTTAGTGCCGGGGGGGGGGGGCACGCAGAGAGCAGGGAAAGGCCAGCTGGGCAGGGGCTCCTCTTGCAAGCGCACCCCTGATTTTGAGAGAGGTCAGCCGCTTCCCCTGTGCCCAGCCAGCAGCACCAGGCCTTTTATTTGCCTTTAAAAGGCTGGGAAGCTTGTGGAGGAGGCAGACAGAGGCCACCCTCCAACCTCCCTTCAGAGCAAGGATCATTTAATGCTGCGTTTCCATCTCCCAAAGGGCAAAGGCAGTGGGCAGCCCCTTCTTTGGCCGCCCAAGAGGGAGGAAGAAGGGCAGGGCACAGAAGGGGGCAAGCAGTCCAGCCAGGAGGGAGGAAAGGGGGGTTCAGTGTCCGGTCAACCATTGGGGGGTCAGCCTCTCTGGAGAGTGGGCAGCAGGGAGTGATCAAGGCTGCTGTTTCTGGCAGGAGGGGTTGGGGGATGTGGGTGCACCAGAAGGGGGCCAGAGCTCAGCCGTCCCCTCCTGTCCCCTCCAGGCAGAAAGAAGCCCAGGCCATCGACCAGGAGCTCTTCGAGGAGTACAAATTCAGCGTGGACCAGCTAATGGAGCTGGCGGGCCTCAGCTGTGCCACGGCCATTGCCAAGGTAGGCGGAGGGGGGTCTGGCCTCGGGCAGCCGGAGCTCCAGGAGAAGTTATAACCCTTCAGCTGCTGTCTTGAGCAGCTCCGTTTCCAGAGGTTGAAGAGCTGGCTTTGTAGGTGTTGGTGAGGCAGAGCAGAGTGAGGGGTGCTGGCATCCATGTTGCCTCCCCAGGTGCCTCTGAAGGAAGTGGCTGTGTGCAGCAGGGGCTGGTTTTCCTGGGCAAAGGATGGCATTTGTATTTGTCCCCTCTTAGCCCGCTTTAGAGGGTTCTGTGAATGCAGACTCAGAAGTTAGAGAGCTTCCGGCTGTGCAGATGTGTTTCTCCCCAGATTATGTTTCGATATGGGATGAAATAAGAGAACCATCTTTCGTTTCTGGGTTCCTTTTTCTATCCTTTTTTTGGGGGGGAGGGAATAACTACCTTCCTTTCAAGTAGACGTTGGGGAGGGAATATGAAGCAAATGTATGAATATGAAGCAAATGTATAAAACTCCACTTACTGTTGAAGGTCACGAAGTCCAGGAGTCCTAAAACTGCACTCATGTATAATTTTATCTGCTTCAAGGAGTTTATGGATAGACTGGTGAGGACTAGAATCCTTGCTCTTCCTTAGATTAGGAATCTTGACACTCTTTCCGGGATCCGCTTTGTGTTTGTGGGTCTGGTGCTCAGCGCAGCCTCTTTCCCCCCCCCAAGGCCTACCCAGCCAGCAGCTTCACCATCAGCCAGCCAGCGGTGCTGATCGTGTGCGGCCCTGGGAACAACGGCGGAGATGGACTGGTTTGTGCCCGACACCTGAAAATGTTTGTGAGTGATTTGCACCCCTCCCGCCCGGTCGTGTTTGTAAGTGCTGGGGACCCTCGCAATGCATCTCTGCCCCCCGACCCCCAGGCAGCTGAGCCCCGGGTGTGCCACCTCTGTCCACCCCTGCATTGCTTGGGTTGCTGGCCTTCTGCCCATTGGAGAGTCTTCTCAAACCGCGTTTGCCCAAAAGGCACCAAGGAGCAGAACAGACCCCAGACAAACCAGGGATTCCTTCCCACGGCAACCGATTAACCCACTTGTCTTTGCAGGGCTATCAGCCGACCCTCCATTACCCCAAACGACCCAACAAGCCACTTTTTGAAGGCTTAACCACCCAGTGTAAGAAGATGGAGATCCCATTCCTCACAGAGTTCCCATCTGAAGTGAGTCGAAAAGGAAGAGAATTGAGAGGTCTACCCATCTTCACTCAGCCAAAGTTGAGAAATGCTCTTCTACAAAGGACCGTTAGGCTTAATAGCACTTGAGACTTATATACCGCTCCATGGGGCTTTGCAGCCCTCTGGGTCCTCATTTAACTGGCCATGGGAGGATGGAAGGCTGAGTCAACCTTGAGCCAGTGAGAATCGAGCTGTTGGCAGTCGGCAGAATTAGCCTGCTAACTACTGCGCCACCACAGCTCCTGGTTAAGGTTGGTGGGGGATTTGGGGAGTTGAAATATACCCATCTTCAAGTGCCAAGGTTGAGAAAGCCCCCCACCCTTTAAAGAGAGGACTCTGGACTGAAGCACCTCTTGTAGGTCTCCACCTGCCCCCCCCCCCTCCTCACACGTCTGATTCCCACTGCAGGCTGCCCTCATCGACGAGATCTACGGCCTGGTGGTGGATGCCGTCTTTGGGTTTAGCTTCCAGGGCGCCGTGCGGGAGCCTTTTGGTACCATCCTGAGCACCTTGGAGAAGGTGACCATCCCTGTGGTCAGCATCGATATTCCTTCCGGTACGTTTGGCCCAGGTGGGCTGGGGGGCCTGGGCTGCGTCATTGTTGGGGTTTGTACCTCATCCTGACGCCCTTCTGTGCCCCACCCAGGTTTCCCTCCCAGAAATAAAGAGTTTTGGAGAATTTAGGACATGGAATAGAATTTGGGCCACTGCTGAGACATTTAGTTTTTAACAGATTCTATATTTGTAATTAGGAGGAGATGAAATACATTTTTTCTTCCATTCAATTGTGCCTGAATCTGCCTGGAGAAGTCCCTGTGATTTTCTTGGCAAGGCTTTTCAGGGGGGGCTTTGCCATTGCCTCCTTCCTAGGGCTGAGAGTTAATGGCTGGCGGGAGGTCACACGCTGGCTTTGTGCCCGAGGCAGAATTAGAACTCAGCCTGGTGCCTTCACACCACCAAACTGTCAGAATACAATCAGCTGCTCAGAGCTGCTGTTTATTTCCCACCCACCCCTAATGGTTAACTGTTCAGAGGGGGCATCGGTAACCCCAGCAGACTTTGGAAAGCAGGGCTCTCCAAAACGGGCCATGTCAACCTCCCCCCACCCCCACCCCACGGGCCAAAGGGGGGGCATTCACTATTGCTATCCGTAGTACAATTAGTTAAAGTTGTATTTATTATTTCCGGGTAAAAATAAATCTTTGGGGACTGATGGAACGATGTGAAGCTTCATGAAGAGTGGGTCAGCCGGAGAGGTTGGGGAAGCCCTGCTGATTGGGACAAATTTGAAAGCACAAAACGGGACCCTTTCTCCCCAGAAGGCTCCAGGGCGGTTCGGGGGTGTCCGTCCATGAACCTCCCCCCAAAACAGAGGAAGCGGGAGAGGGGGGGGCTTTAATTCTTCTGCCTCCACATTGGGGAGCTGACTCAGGGTCTGGACGTTTCATTTTCCCTCTCTCTTCTGGCATTGCCTCCCCCCGAAATCTGGGGAAAACAGGACTGACCTTCCAAAGGGAGGGGGGGTGGAGGGCCCCACAGCAGTGCTGCTGCCTCACGGCCCCCTTCCCTCTCCTGCCAGGCTGGGATGTGGAGAAGGGGAATCCTGACGGGCTGCAGCCGGACATGCTGATCTCGCTCACAGCCCCCAAGAAGGCGGCCCAGCACTTCCAGGGCCGCTACCATTTCCTGGGGGGCCGCTTTGTGCCCGAGGCCCTGCAGAAGAAGTACGCACTCAACCTCCCGCCCTACCCAGAGACCGACTCCGTCCTGCGCCTCTCCTAGAGCCGGCCCAGCCCCGTCTGCGGAGGGGGGCCTGGGGCTGCTGCAGGTTCCCCCCACCAGGAGCCCAGAGCCCGGGAGAGGCTGGCCGGCTTGTCTTTCAGATCTTGCCCAGGAGCAGCTCCGGCTTAAGTCTCTGGAGGAGCCTTTCTATACATTTTGTCTTCCTGGAATAAAAATATGCTGGGGAAAAGCTTCTTCCGTCTTTTTCAAAATCTTCTGCCTTTGCGAAGGAGAGAAGACACTCCAAGAGTGTGATGAGGGGGGGGGGAGAGGATTTGGGGAGGGGGGTCTGTCACCCAGCTTCTAGGAAATCCCCCCTCAAGAAATGGGGGACCAACCCTTGGGGTGAGGAGCCTTCTCTCCGGCTACTTTGGGGGGGGGGGGGAGATGACACACAGCCAGAGAGGCCTGGAGGGAGTTTTGGGGAGGAAGGCAGGGCGATCTTGAGGCTGAGCCAAAATCGGGAGCGATCAGAAAATAAAAGAGCATCGGATTCCCCCCTTTTTGAAAAGAGACCCAGAAGAGGTTCTGTTGAGTGGGGGGGGGGGCTTCTTCCAAGGCCAGAAGAAACAGGCTGAGCTCAGCAGGCAGCTACCAAAGACCCCGGGCAGCCTTTTCTTTGGGGGGGGGGGCACAGGCAGCTGAGCCATTGTGGGCCTGGATTGAAAGGTTCAGATAAAAGCGGCTGCCGGAGCCTTTCAAGCCGGTTAAGGACGGTAGATGGCCCCCCTCCCATCTTCATTTCTGCCCCTCCAGCAACGGCCTCTAAGGACTCTGGATGGGAGGATCAGAGAGAGAGGAAGGAAGCACAGCGACCCCTTCAGGCACATCAAGGGGAAGCTTTCCCCCATGGGGGAGACACTTCCAAGCCCCCCTTTGTGCTGGGAGAATGCCGGCCCTCCAGCCCCCACTGGGGTAGAAGCGAGTGCCAGCACCCCCCTCCGTGGCAAGGGCAGAGCAAGCTTCCCCTCGGCCAGACACCCCGGCTGACGCCTGCTGCGGAGAGACGGGGAGAGTCGTGAAAGGGACACAAGAAGACCTTCTGGTTATCTTTACTAGCATTTGACAACATTGTCCCATCTTCCTCTCTCCCACCAGACGTGGACAGGAAGGCCACGCTGGCCTTTCCTCGTGGATTCGCTTTGGGTGGGAAGGGGGGGGAAATCTAAGCAAAGGGCAAACTGAGAGAACACAACAGTTTGGGTTATCTCTAGAAGTTATACTTCTATGAGCTAAAAGGAGGAGCTTCATTTTGAGAAGAAAGGAGGGGCCAAAGAAGGGGAGGGGCGGGAAGAGTTTCAAGAGAGTCCTGGAATCCATGCACAACGCAGCATCTCAAGCAGGGGTCTCCAACCTGGAGATCCGTGGACTTCGACTCCCAGAATCCCCCCCAGCCAGTAGAGCTGCCTAGGGAATTCTGGGAGTCGAAGTCCACAGCTCTTGGCCAAGGTTGGAGAGGCCTGGTCTCAAGCATTTGGTGCAAGGCTGGGCTTGCTGGGCTGAACTGGGGGGGTGGGTGGGGGGGGTGTTCCAGTCTCTGAGGGATGGGAGGGGGCCAGTGCTGGGTCCGAGCCTGGCTGCCCCTGGAAAGGTCCTTGCGTGCCAAAAGCCCCGCGTGACGTTAGGAAGCCTGGAAGCCCAGCAGTCTTTCAATGGCGGCGTTGATGTCTCCTCCGGTGGCAATGAGGGCCTGGAGGTTGGCCTCGCGGTTGATGAAGCCCATGGCGCTCAGCTGCTCCAGCTGCTGCTGGAACCGGACCTCTGGGCTCTGCGCCTGCCGCGAGGAGGAGAAAACCCGCGTGAGTTGCTCAGCCACAGGCGCGCCTGTCAGTCGTTCCCAGCCGCTCTCCCAGCGGCATCACCTTCCAGCTGCCCAACCTCTGCTCTACACGCTACCCAAACCCTTCAAGTGGGCGGAGCAAGGGCACCGCGGGGCAGCCCTCTTGGGGCACAAAGGCCTTTGAATGGGTGCAAAACCCAGAGCCCCCAACTCCTGTGGAGCTGAAATTTGGCCAAGCTTCTAAGACCTTTTATGGCATAGAAGTTACCACAATGGTACAATACAAAAAACATAATAAAATATTCCCGGGGGGATCAACCGCTGACGTGTGGCTCTGCTGCACAGTTGAACCTGGGCTCCTTTGCAAGGCAGCTCCATCTCTGAGTCTCCCCCCCCCCCCCCAATTCCTGGCCAAAGAAGCTCGGCTATTGTGGAAGCTGCCAAGGAAACCTCTCTGCAACTGTGGCCCACGAAGGCCTCGGGGGCCTCGTTATTTCGGGTATTTACAGGCCACCCAATGGACCCTGGCAGGTGACAGGTAAGGGTTCGAGTTAAAAGCCCCAAGAGTCCTGACAAACATCAACATGGAACCACATCACCATCAAGCCAAGGGGGGGCGAAGGGCCAAGCGCCCCCCGGAAGACCCCTGGCAGCCCTCCAAAGAGCCAGGGAGGTGCTGGGAAGCAGGAGGCCCCGCCTGGCCCTCACTCAAAGCTTCCAGGGGAGGGGCTTCCTGGCCCCCTTGAAGTGGGGGGAGGGGGGAGAGTGAACCCCTGGAGGAAGAGCTCAGCAGTTGGAGGAGGACAAATGCCACCACCCCCCCACCGCCTACCTGAGAGTTGGCACTGGACAGGAGCTGCACCATGTGCTGCATGAGCTGCTGGGAGGGGTTGCTGTCTCCAGCTGGGGAGGTGCTGGGCAGGGGGGGGTCCAGGACTGCAGTTCCTCCGGCGGA